GGGTGCTCATTATGAGAAACCTGCCAGTCATATCCAAGCCTCAGACTGACATCAGCTACATGGGTCACAAATATTGCAGGTATCAATAGAGAAAGTGGTATCTTGCTCCTCTTTCAACTCAGCCAGGCAACAAACCATCTCTCACCAGCCCAGGGACACAGCAGCTGGTAGGACCAACAGATATGGGCCCTTGGCTGGCTAGTCCCTGCTTCAGGCTGGGTTTTGGCCTCCTGGGCTCAAGCTCTCCCCTCTGCCCAGCTCCCTCAGTAGGAAGCTGGGCAGGGCAGGCAAGGAAGAGGAAACCAGGAGGGCAAATCACCTCTGCTACCCCTCTGCAAAACGTCGGGGGAAACCTGCCCCCAGCTCCGTCAAGGAGAGAGCTTCACGTGGAACACATGGGTAGAATTTTTCCTTGGGGAGCTGCAGAACATCACTGGCTCCCAAGCCACCTCTGACCAATGCACCCAAACTTAATCGGAAAATTCAACCAGAGACCATGGGAATGATCTAAGATTAGACTTGAAGTGCTGGCAGAAAGGAAAGGTATCACAGCTCCTCAACTCAGGCTCCAGTTCAAGATCAAGTACGTAGCTCAGCCTATTCACTCCTCCCTCCAAAGCACAACAGAAGCTGGTCCCCATTTTTTCTTCAAAAAGTTGTTTATTGAATTGTTTTAGTGTTACTTCAAGAAAAAAAGAAATCCAAAATTTAGGTAACAAGAAAACCCCAGGTGTAAACCCAAAACTAACATCTGAACCATGGATGAAAGTGAACATCTGCTCCAACACAGAGACCAGGGGCTCATGCAGTTTCCTGCTGCTGGAGTCTCCCAACCCAGAGCACCCCAGACAAACAGACACAGACACAGCCCTACCCCCACTGCAGATCTGGAGTTAACGAAAGCCCTGTGTGCTCTGCTTATGTACTCCCAGCTACTCACCCCACCAGGGAGCAGGAATTTGACTCCCTGACTAAGACACAGGTACAAATTTCTCATCAATGAGGCACTTGTGTTCCTGGCTGCCCCCTCACTCAGGGCTCAGCATGTGCCTCCTTTCTCCTGCGCTCATGGAAGCAGATTCCAAACTAAATAGAGAAGAAATCCACCAGCTCCTGCTGAATGAAGCTTGGGCTGGCAGCCAGGCCACAGGGATGGATGGACAGGTGAAGAACAGCCTTAACTCTCTCAAAAAGAGGCTAAGAAAGTTGGGGCTGTTTAGCCTGGAAAAGAGAAGCTGCGTGGAGGCCTCAGAGGAGTTTCTAGTATCTGAAGGAGGGCTACAAGGATGCTGGAGAGGGACCTTCATTAGGGACTTCAGTGATAGGACAAGGAGTAACAAGTTCAAACTAAAACAGGGGAAGTTCAGGTTGGATATAATGAAGAAGTTCTTTACTGTGAGGGTGGTGAGGCACTGGAATGGGTTGCCCGAAGAAGTTGTGAATGGTCCATCCCTGGCAGTGTTCAAGACCAGGTTGGACAGAGCCTTGGATGACATGGTTTATTGTGAGGTGTCCCTGCCCATGGCAGGGGGGTTGGAACTAGATGATCTTAAGGTCCTTTCCAACCCTAACTATTCTATGATTCTATTTAGGAAAAATAAGCCAAGTGAGCTTTCAAGTAATTATTTGGAACTATATACAGATGGCATTTGCCTTAGAGACATCACACACGTTGATAGATTTCCTAGCAAGAGCTCTTAACACAAGCCATACGTGGCTAGTAACTACTGGATCAGATCTGCTGCAGGGTGAGCAGGCCCTGGAGTATATCATGAGGCGACGGGCAGGCCTGCTCAGCGTGTTGTGGGGCTCCACTTGCAGGAACTGGAAGTTTCTCCTGGTTCATGACTGACCCCATGTGGTCACGGGTGATGGAGTCACTGTGGTCCAGGTGCATCAACTGCCTCTTCCAAGTAACTGAAGAACAGAAACCATGGGGAAAACCAAACCCAGCACACAGTCCCAATCCGATTCAGTTAATTTTAGGGCAGAAGATGCCCAATTCTGCTCCCCCACCCAAGCTCAATGCAGCATGTTCAACCATCAGAAAACAAACATTCCTGACTCACAGTAGAGTCCACCTGGCCCTCCTTCAACGGGTAAGGGAAGCCTTCAGCTTCCAGCCTGTAGCATGTGCTACACAACCTGCCTGCCTGCACTGAAGCTAGCACACCAACCAGCAAGCCAGAGCTCCCTGAAGTGCAGGAGGTGGCATTTGGCCACAGGCCATGCCTGGTCACAGCTCTGTAGGCATTTTCTTTGGTGCTTTTTTAGCATAAGCAGAATTAGTCACTTACTAATGACATTCTTTGTTGCCCAGAGTGGCTGCCCCATCGCTGGCAGTGTTCAAGGCCAGGTTGGACAGGACTTGGAGCAACCTGCTCTAGTGGAAGGTGTCCCTGCCTGTGGCAGGGGGTTGGAACTGGATGAGCCCTTCCAACCCAAACCAGGCTGTGATTAGACAATAAAAATCCTCAGAAGTGAGTCACTTTATATAGGGATATATTTAAGGTCTTCTCCCAATATGTCTATCCAGGAAGGGCTGTGGGAAGAACAAGAGTTTTACCAACAAGCTGTTCTCAAGTTCAGACAAGCCATAAACATTCAAACCACAACCTGAGCGCAAGGCAATGCAGTCACTGCAAAAGGTTTGCACTAAGAGACCAGTTTGAGCTTAACAGCAGCAGCTTTAGCTCTGGTTACCAGCTCATCTGTAACTTAAAGCTCTTTTTCATTTTTTCTAACTTGCTTTATCCCTATTGTAAATTAAGGACTCAAGTCATTTTTCCATATAAGCCATGGTCAAAACCTGCAGGTAACTTAAGTTGGGTTTTTTAGGTAACAGGTGCTTGACTCATTCACTAAAAATGTTCATGGCAAGTATCAGCACAGTCACTACTTTTTCACACAATCTTTGCTTGGAGCACCTAACAGACATTACTGCCAGTAGCTCCTGCTGCCATGTACTCAAATCTAAGGAAAGCTGCTGAATGAGAGAAAGCAGCACAGCCTGGGACAGTGAGCATGGATACTGCCCAAATACTTCCTCAGTATACACAGTCTCACAGACATAGAGAATCAGGTTGAGATCAGCTGCTGTTAGAGCCTGCAAGGAAAACACAGCAAAAAAGGTAGAGGAAACAACAGGCAGGTGAGGGACACAGGACAGTGCAGAGACAGCCCTCTGCCTTGGAGCGGCTCAACAGCTTGCTAGCCTCCTCTGGGAGAAGAATTCTCTGCAAACCCTACTGTACATGCAAGCAGGAGTATGTTCAGGCTCTCAGGCTGCAGACTTAAATTATAGGTTTAAACTAACAGTAATATGGATGACTTTAAATAACAGTAAAATACAGCAAACTGCTCTAAATTATTAACACGTAGAGAGAAAGGAATGTCCAGCTGACGGGGGAAAGAACATCACAGGATTGGTAACAACTAAGGAGACAACAAATAAGACCAAGAATGCCAGCCTTCAAGATAGCAGGATGGCACCCAAAGTGGAGTGAGACTGGAAAAGAACAGAAGCAAGGACATACCAACTGCTAACTCGGCACTAGGACCTTGCGAGTGCACGCAAGCACTGAGGTCATTTACTAAACACAGTGAGGAAAACTATTGGGGACCATGAGAGAACCCACTGTCCTTGGTTGAGCTGTAACAATTACTTTTCTACTTCTTAGTAGCTGGTGCAGTGCTGTGTTTTGGCTTTAGTCCGAGAACAACACTGATAACATACCAGTGTTTTATTTGTTGCTCAGTAGCACTTCCCCATCAAGTACTCTTCAGTTGCCCATGCTCTGCCAGTGAGGAGGGGCATGGGAAGCCAGGAGGGAGCAAAGACAGGACACCTGATCTAAACCAGCCAAAGGGGTATTCCATACCACAGCACGTCATGCCCAGTACAGAAACTGGAGCGAGTTACCCAGAAAGCCCCGATCGCTGCTTGAGTCAGGCTGGATATCGGTCGGCAGGTGCTGAGAAATTGTATTCTCTCCCTTTGTCATTTCCCTTATCATTATTATTAGTAGTGGTATCAGTAGCGGTTTTGTGTTATAACTTAGTTACTGGACCGTTCTTATCCCAACCCGTGGGAGTTACATTCTTTCCATTCTCCTCTCCATCCCTCCGGGAGCAGGGGGGAAAAAGCAGGGGAGTGAGCAAGTGGCTGCATGGTTCTGAGTTACCAGCTGGGCTTAAACCACGACCCCCTGTCGTGGTTTAAACCCAGTCAGGCAACTTGTTCACTCACTCCCAGTGAGTGGTGCCAGGCTGACAGCAATCGAGGGCCCCCCCCCGGGGCTCTCCCCTTCTCCGCTCCCGGATGAACGGGGAGGAGGATCGAAAGAGTGCAACTCCTACGGGTTGAGACAGTGATCCTCCCTTTCACCAGTATTATATATGAAAAACAATGATAACAGTACAGTATTCATTTACTGTCTGTTACCTTAATTCATTGCACAGCAAGGAACAAAATGGTATAATACAGAAAAGGGCAGAGATCAAAACCAGAGTTCTCTCTCCTAATTCCTAGCATTTGTTCTGAGCATGTCTTAGTACTCTGCTACAGCAGCCATTTTGATCTCAGCACGCTGGTTCTTCTGCGTGCCCTGATTCTGCTGGGTGGAGCCCTCAGCAGGACTAAGGCTAGCAAACCATCAAAAACAATGCTCTCCCCATAATGAAGACCTGCCAGGGAAGAGACAATCAGAAGGAAGAACTTGTTTGTGAAGGAAGGGCACTTTCCCAGGAACTTACAGCATAGATCACGGGACTTAAAAGACTTAGAGGATAACTTGGCCAGATTCTGGAATAACAGTAACAATCAGATACAAGATATCCTTCTAATTTTTCCCCCTTGTCAAGCTCATTGACAAACTTCTATCAAATTACAGATTCCTATAACACAGGAAAAATTATTTCCTTTTAATTCCCCCCCCCCCCCCCCCCAAGCATTAGCTGATGTGACTAACAAAAAGAGACAGAACCATGCTTTCTCTTCCTCCTTACGTTGTTACTCCCTCTGGCCTTGCTGGTGATGCTGGAATCACTGCTGGCCACTACCTCCACATCTTTTGCTGTTATCACTATGCAAGCAGAACTGTCATCACCAGAAAGGCAGCTTTTAAGGAAAAAAAAAAAACAGACAGGACTTACAGGAAGAGAACAGAAGTCAGAGATTGGCTACTCATGATTTTAACAGCAATGCAGGAGTATCTGTGCAACTAGGAAGTTTGCGCTGAATAACTGAAAATAAAAAGAAACTACTTTCAGTTAGGAGTATCCCTTCCCCATGTGCCACAGCTTTGAGAGCACCAAACACCTGGTTTGTTCAGCTTAAAATCCTCCAGTTTATTGGAATTGAGCACAAACCTACATTTGGTTGAAGTAGCCTTGACTCCTACGCAACATTAGAAGGTGCAAAGAAACCAAACTGTTGAACTTCATCAACAGTGCATGTTGCTCATGGTTCTCACAGCATCCTCTCTCAAAACTGTTAGCAGAGAACCTAAGAAAAAGCTATTCACATGAGCTCTAATGTTAAGAATCAGCACATGAAGCCAAGCATTACACCAATTAGTCTGATGTGGATTTGTATTACTCCCATGACAAATCCAGAGTATTCTATATGCATATGTTTTTTAACACATAAGCAGTAAAAGCATAGGTACTGTCCAAAACACATCAATGTATATCCACAAGTCAGCAGTTATGTAGAATCCTACCTCAGGATCACTTGTCCTGTTTTAAGTTATATGGAGAGAAATATCTGGACAATTGTGAGGTCTACCATACTGTGGACTGGTAAGTCACCCCTCAGGTAACTTGGGGCCCAGAAGAAGTCCAGCTGGAAGCTTACATGAGAATGCTAAATGATAAATCTCACCCAGTGCCCTGCTAATTAACCTCCATCCTGACCCCTAATGCCCACCATACAATCAGTCCTGTTCCCCTTATCTCTAAACAGCTCTGCCAATACTCCAGTTCCTGAGCAGCAAAGATAGCAGGCTGCACACATCAGCATCACAAAAGCTCTGAACCCCAGCACTGACTCACAACTACCACCTGAACTCAACGTGAAACTCATCAGCTTCCCAACATGCTTATCCATACACACCAGAACTAAGTTTTAATTATTTTCTAGTCACTCTCAGCCTTTCTTTAACATAGCAACAGGACAAGGGGTAATGGGTTTAAACTGAAACAGGGGAAGTTCAGTTTGGACAGAAGGAAGAAGTTCTTCCCTGTGAGGGTGGTGAGACACTAGCACAGGTTGCCCAAAGAAGTGGTAAACGCTCCACCCCTGGCAATGCTCAAAGTCAGGTTGGATGGGGCTTGGAGCAACCTGATCTAGTGGAAGGTGTCCCTGCCTGTGGCAGTGGGTTGGAACTGGGTGAACATTAAGGTCCCTTCCAACACAAACCAGTCTGGGATTCCATGAAAACTTACATGACTTGTTTCTCCTGTAGGGCTCCCAGAGAAATGCTCTGATGCACTGGCTTACCCAGAGAAGGTACCTTTTCCAGCCACTATGGGGCAGGCACCAGCAGTCCATTCAGGTCTCTGTTACATGAAATTGATGGTCTCTGGTTCTCATTCACTGAGCCTAGGGAAAAGCACAACCAACTGAGCACGCTATCCATTCAAAAGAAACAGCATTGTGCAAAACAGACTACCTCCAGATAGACTAGAAGAACCTGACAAAAACTATCAGGTAGAATATGCTTAATTAATTGGGAAAAGTATTATTCTCCAAAAAGGATGTGTTAAGAGATCCATGTAGGAAACTTATCTCCACAGAAACAAGGTAAATCATGGCTCTTTTCTTACATAAGCAAACCCAGCAGACAAAAAAAAAAAAAAAAACAAAAAACAAAAACAAAGAACAGGCATGAGGAACTTCCTAGGTTCAAGGAGCAAATAGTCTTGGATCAGAAAGACTAAGCTGGCAATTCAGATTAACTGAAACAAGTGCCAGACCAAAGCATTCTTCAAAAGTTGTCCTGGGTTCAGGTGTAACAGTTATTTTTCTCTTAGTAGCTGGTGCAGTGCTATTTTGGCTTTAGTCTGGGAAAAGTGCTGATAACACCAATGTTTTTAGTTGTTGCTAAGTAATGCTTACCCTGATCAAGAACTTTCTCAGTCTCATGCTCTACTAGGGAGGAAGGGCACAGGAAGCTGGGAGGATGCAAAGACGGGACACCTGAACCAAACTGGCCAAAGGGGTATTCCATACCACAGCACATCATGCCCAGTATAGAAAATGGGGGGAGTTACCAGACAGGCCCAGATTGCTGCTTGGGTCAGGCTGGGTACCAGTCAGCAGGTGCTACCTTAGCCCAGGCCCCCCAGCTGATAAACACTAAAATAGCAAATACTGGCTGCAAGGTGCAACATGCTGAAAATCTGAGACCAAGTGCAACATGCTGGGGTTGGCCTACACCTAGAGCCCTGCTCAATGCTATCCATCACTTTCAAGAGGAAAAAGATACCTCTGGATCTGATGGCAAAGCAACAGACAACAGCTACTCAACCCCCAAGCACAGCAGCTATAGCAACCCTAGTGAAAAGTACAGCAGCTACTCAAGCTCTGACTACAACAGACAACACAGCTACTCCAACTCCAAGTACAGTAACTACATCAATCCCAGTGACAAGTACAGCAGCTACTCAAACTCCGACAGCAAAAGACAACGCAGCTGCTGGTGCTACCCAAACCCCAAGCACAGCGGCTACACCAACCTCGACAACAGTTACAGCAACTACTCCAACCACAGTGATAATCACTGCTGCTAAAACTGAGGACCAATTTGTGCCAATACCAGTTGCCCCTGTACGCAAGGGGAAAAGCAAACAAGAGGCACAAAAAGCAACCCATGCAGTGAGGAAAGATGAAGAAACAATGCACTTACTACAGGGGACAGCATCTGAACAAAAGTTATTATTACACGAATCAGAGGAAGAAGTTTACCTCATGAAGTTTAACCATGCCAAGTGCAAGGTCCTACACCTGGGTTGGAGCAATCCCAGGCACAGCTACAGGTTGGGCAGAGAAGAGATTCAGAGCAGCCCTGCAGAGAAGGACTTGGGGGTGTTGGTGGATGAGAAAATGAACATGGGCCGGCAGTGTACGCTTGCAGCCCAGAAAGCCAACCGTATCCTGGGCTGCATCAAAAGGAGCATGACCAGCAGGTCGAAAGAGGTGATCCCGCCCCTCTACTCTGCTCTTGTGAGACCTCACCTGGAGTATTATCTGCAGGTCTGGTGTCCTCAACATAAAAAGGACATGGAACTGTTGGAACAAGTCCAGAGAAGTGCCACAAGGATGATCAGGGGACTGGAACACCTCCTGTATGAAGACAGGCTGAGGAAGTTGGGGCTGTTCAGCCTGGAGAAGAGAAGGCTGCGTGGGGACCTCATAGCAGCCTTCCAGTATCTGAAGGGGGCTTATAGGGATGCTGGAGAGGGACTCTTCATTAGAGACTGTAGCGACAGGACAAGGGGTAACGGGTTAAAACTTAAACAGGGGAAGTTCAGATTGGATATAAGAAGGAAATTCTTTCCTGTTAGGGTGGTGAGGCACTGGAAGGGGTTGCCCAGGGAGGTCGTGAATGCTCCATCCCTGGCAGTGTTCAAGACCAGGTTGGACGAGGCCTTGGGTGATATGATTTAGCGTAAGGTGTCCCTGCCTACGGCAGGGGGGTTGGAACTAGATGATCTTAAGGTCCTTTTCAACCCTAATTATTCTATGATTCTATTATTCTATTCTAAGAAGAAGAGGTGACTTCTTGACCATGGACCTCAACCGACCTATGGAATACACAAAAACAATTTACCCGTCATCCAGGGGAACACATAATCACCTGGTTGCTCGGATGCTGGGACAATGGGGCCGACAGTCACAAACTAGAAGGTAGGGAAGCTAAGCAGCTGGGATCACTTGCTAGGGAAGGGGGAATTTGTAAGCAGCAAGAAGCAGACAGGCCAACCCAATATGGGTGATAAGCAACTTCTCCTTTATTTGTGACACAGTTCACACATATATAGGAGTGGTATTCAGCCACTCCTTCTTGGCATAACAGTATTGGTTAGCCCCCACAGCTTCCTCCACATTCTCCTCCCAGGTCCGGTCTCCGGCCACCTGTGGGGGCCACCCCCTGCCTTGCTTGCACAGTCCTCCAGAACTCTATGGTTCTGCTCTTAGAGTCATTCTGCAACAATTCCCCCCTTTTTCTTTGTGCAAGCAAGGCATTATGGGTTATTCTGTTCACCTGTTTTATCACACAACTATAAGCAAGTCTAATAGCTACGATGATTAACCTAACAATGATACATAAGTGCAATACTTCAAACAACAGTGTTTGACTCAAACTGTAATGCCCCGTGAAGACAACCATCTAGTTATTAGGATATTGCTCATTTACTATTGCTGGGTAAGCTGAGCCAGGGTTCTCAGCTGTTCGTGTATTGAATTAGCATAATCAGAGAGACTCATACAACACATTCCATCAAACTCTTCACATCCATGTCCCTGTTCCAACAACAAAAGGTTCTGCAGTGTTGCATGTCTTACAGAGTCAACATTAAAACAAATCAGGAATTGCCTTCGATGTAGAACTGTCTGCTTAGCAACTCAGCAACCCAGTCTGCTTAGTTGAGCCAAGGCCCCAGCTGAAGCACTTACAGTGATTTGGCATATTATGATTGGATACAGGTTTTGAAGACCCTTAGTGACTAACATATAATTGGTTAAACACAGGTGTGAGAACTCAACCTTGAAAGCTTGCCAACAGTCCACAGTTCTCATTAACTTGGTGAATTCCAGCCTCTTATCTTGCTTGCTTAAGCTTCTTCAGGCCTCTCATGGCCTTGCTGTATCTTTCAGGACTATTCAAAGTTTATGTACCAATTATGCATTCTCCTGTGAGAACACTGTCTCCACATCTCCCCCCTTTTGTTTTATCCAGTAACAAGTTGCTACTACAGCAAGGCACACACACATTTACATTAGCAGAGTAACTATCACAGGGTGCAGCAGCATGTTGAAGATGCTGATGGCAGTGAAGGACTAGCCAAAGAAATTTCATACCAGTGGAATTCTCCCCCCCTCTTAATTTGTTCCATCACCTGCTTTATAACACTACCATTGTATTGAAATTTTTCTAGCTTTTGCCTTAGCATTTTCTAGCAGCTACTGCAAATTTCCATACTCTAACATCTCTTTTACAAGTGACAAATCTATACAATACAAGGTGTAGTTTCTTATTAGCAACTAGCTAGTAAATACAGGTGGTTTTATACACAAAATCACAAGCTCTAATAATAGCTACTTTACAAGCACACATATTCAGGATGTTACTTTTCAGTTGCCCCCAAGTGATGTTTTGCAGTTATTTGTTCTTTCTCTTCCTCCATCTCATTCTGCTTGGGGTATTCACGGTCAGCTCCTGTAGCTGAGGCATCAGGTTTATCCATTCGTCCGTCTGTCCAGCTCATGGCAAGGCTTCACAAACTTTGCAGACAGTCGCCATGGACCTGTAGGCAGGAGGGCACAAATATACCCCCTCCCCCAGGTTATCAGTTCTTCAGAAGTAGACAGGTTAAAGTTAAATGTAACATCATTACTCTCTCTCTCCCCCCTCTTTTTTTTTTTTTTTTGTCCCTGCAAAAGCTATCATTATTCCCACTACAGTCCCACGTACAGAACGTGGCACAAGGACCCTGTGGAGACTAACAGCAAACCAGCTCTGAGAAGCATCATTGCAGTGTGAGGTGGCAGGCTCAACCTTAGCGGGCATCCCCGCAAAGGCTCTGCCTCCCCCACATCGTATGAGGTTTGGGCTTTTATACTGACCAAAATGCACACTCATTCCGACACAGGTGGCCAGCCTGTGCTGGAAGAAGTGGCCAGCAGTATCTACAGAGGTCTCCAAGGGTTGATAGAAACCTGGACATACTTATATTTACCAACTTCTAGTACATGAGTATCACAGAGAAACTGTATGGGCTCCCCCTGTCAATTGCAAGAAAAAATCATAATATATACAGCTTGAGTTTAAGAGGATTTTAACGCATACGTGGTCACTGTTTGTCAGGCCTCCTTAACTATTTTGAGATCAAGAGCTTCCCACTCTTTAGCCCCCTGCTGTGTAGTAAACACAGGATATGCAAAGATGCCCATTGCAGAAAATTCCCCAGTAATGTTCACCTCTTTGGTTACCCATTGTTACAACTGAGCGTCTCCAGGGCCAGTAAGTCTGAGCAGACCGACCCGGGAGACGAAGAGTCAGGGTCTGGAAGCAGAGGATATAAATCTGGCTCGGATTCAGGGGATTCGGGGGCTGATCCTGCGCCGAACTCGGGGTCTCCGTTGCTCGCAGCTGTGTCTTTCTTATCAGATGTCTCTCGTTCGGTATGTAGCCATCGGCAGACCTGGCTCCTCCGTGACTGAGTTAAATTTTTTTTTTTTTTTTTTTTTTCACTCTAAGCGTAGTGGGTTGGAGAGGCTCGCGGTTCCTTTAAATCTCCCGCTAGCGCATGATCCCTATTTTCTACTGCGTGCTTCACAGTGGCGCCGCAATCGATCCGGCGCCGAGGCACCGCCCT